GGCTCAGTGGTTAAGAGCACTTGCTGCTCTTGCAGAGGACCCTGGTTTGATTTCCAGCACCCGCACGCTGGCTCACAGCCAGCTGTAACTCTAGTGCCAATGGATCTAACGCTCTCTTCTAGTCTCCAGTGGTACCAGGCACTCACACACATACAAGTAAACATTAATACATTTAAAAAAAAAAAAAGATGGGCCAGGCAGTGGTGGCGAACGCCTTTAATCCCAGCACTCGGGAGGCAGAGCCAGGCGGATCTTTGTGAGTTTGAGGCCAGCCTGGGCTACAGAGTGAGGTCCAGGACAGGTGCCAAAGCTACACAGAGAAACCCTGTCTCGAAAAACCAAAAAAAAAAAAAGGCAGGTGCAGCACCAGAGAGGAAAAACAAGAGGATCCTCGAGGCTCTGGCCAGCCAGGCTAACCAAATCAGTGAGCTCCAGGTTACAGTGGATATCCTATCTCCGATGATGATGATGACGACAACGATGATGTAGCAGGTGCTTGTAGAAAAACACCCAACATCCAGCGCCTGCTTCCATACATGCACACACATACACACGAGCACAGGGTAGGGTCGGGAGTCTGGAAGCCCCACTTCTTTTGGGTATATGGGTGCAGGTTTGGATGGGCCCATGTGCGTGCAGGTGGAAGCCAGAAGAGGACATCAGATGTCTTCCTGTAACTCTCTCACCTTGCTCTCTTGAGACAGTCTCTTACTGGTCGCCATTTCAGCTAGGCTGGCTGTTCAGCATGCTCCTGGGATCCACCCATCCTCCCCACCCCCAACACGGAGGTGACAAGCATGTGCAGACCAGCTTTTATGTGGGTGCTGGGGGTTCGAGCTCAGGTCCTTCTGCTTGCACAGCAATGCTCTTACCCACTGAGCCATCGAGCCATCTCCTCTCCTCTCTCTCTCTCTCTCTCTCTCTCACACACACACACACACACACACACACACAGGGGGAGCTAAAACTAGAAAGAGCTCACGTGACTTGCCAGCACTGTAATGCATAAGTGAATGTGGCATATTTGATTAAGAGAATATTACACAGCCATAAGAATGAAGGAATACAACACACCCATGAAAACTCAGGCAATAGATAATCCCACACCAACAAGAATGAAGGGATACATGATGAATCGGCCTCACAAACATAAGGGTGAATGAAAGAAGCCACATACAAAAGCATATCTACTACATGATTCGACTTAACATAAAATTCAAAACTAGACAAATTTCATGTATGGTGCTAAGAGACTACTTGTACATTTACAGGGAGTACTGGGTGCTGATAACATTCAGTTCCTTGAACCAGCAAGTTGTTCTTCGTAAGACTCCAAGTAACACATTTATGATTTGCAAGCCTTGATGGTCTATTGCATTAATTTGCCCAGCAAGATGTCTCAGGGGGTAAAGACACTTGCTGTCAAGACTGATGACCCGAGTTCAATCCCTGGGACCCACATGGAAGAAGGAGAGAACTGACTCCTACAAGCTGTCTCATGACCTCCATGATACATGCTGTGGCACACATGCACTCAAGCATGATAGATAAATGTAATGAGAAAGTTTATGTTTTTCAAAAGCATCTACTTTGTGACCCTTGCTTTAGACATGAGGAGATGAGGTCCAGAGGTAGCAAGTCACTTGCATAAAGTCAATCAGCTAATACTCTTTTCTGCTTGGTTTCATGTTGGTGACCGCCTGAGTTGGGGAGCAGGCTAGTTTAGATAAAGCTAGGAAGCTGTGGGTATGGCTCAGTGGTAAAAGTGTGTGCTTGTTCCTCAGGGGTGCAGCCCCCAAGAGGCTACCCATGCACACCTGGCAGCACTGAGTAGACTCACAAGGTTAAAAACAAACAAATATGAGATTGGGAGGGGATAGTGTGGAGAGTTCCTGGGGAATGTCTTTCTGTATGCTGTGAATATATATTGTTCCCATTGGTTAATAAATAAGCTGCTTTGGCCTATGGCAAGACAGCTTAGAGGCAGGTGGGAAATCCAAGGACAGAGACAGGAAAGAGGAAGGCAGAGTCTGGGGAGAAGCCTGGCTGCCGCCCAAGGAACAACATGCCAGAATACCAGTAAAGCCACGGAACATGAGGCAAAACATAGATTAATAGAAATGGGTTAATTTAAGATGAAAGAGCTAGCTAGCAAGAAGTCTGCCATAGGCCATACAGTTTTTAAATAATATTAAGCCTCTGAATGATTATTTTATAAGTGGCTGATGGACCATGGGGCCGGGCAGGACTGGAGAAAACTTTTGACTACAGAGGGAGATAGAGAAGGAACTGGAAGGGAGTGAATGGGGAATGGACTCGATCAAAACACATTATAAGCATATATGAAACTCCCAAACAGTAAAGAAAAAGGATGTGTTCTCAGCATGTGTGAAGCCTGGGTTCCACTCCCAACAGCTAGAAAACTAAAGCCAAAGGAAAAGAGAAGGAAATAAGCAAAGGGAGAAAGAAATGTGTCACCCACCGCTGCCCACCAGTCATTTGCCCTTCTTCCATGATTCATTGCCTTCTTGCTTGCAGCCTGCCACTGTCTCTTCCTTTCAATGAAGTCATGGTGTGTGTGTGTGTGTGTGTGTGTACACCAATGCCTGATGCTGCTGCAGTCATCCTGTGGTCATGAGCAGAGCTGTTCCTAAGTACGCCAGGATAGCTGTACAAGTAAGTAGGGGAAATTCAAGTCTTCAGCAATGTCCTAGTTGGTTTCCTATTGCTGTGACAAAAATACCCTGACCAAAAGCAAATTGGGAAAGAAAGGCTTTACTTCATCTTATACTTCTAGGTCACAGTGATCCTTGAGGGAAGTCAGGGCAGGAACTCAAACAAGAAGCATGGAGGAATGATACATATTGTCTAGACTTCTGGCTTTGCTGTGGTACCCACCATACACAAGACATTAAAAGAAACCATAAATATTTAGGAATGTTCAACATCAAGTGCTTTACAGTCTTTTATTTATTTTAATGAAAATTAATTTCTAGCCTGATCACAGTTTTCCCTCCTCCTTCTCCTCTCAGTCACTCCCCCAATCTTCCCTCCTCCCATCCACTTCTCCTCCTTTCTCTTCAGAAAAGGGCAGCACCTCCTCCCCATGTTTATCAGCCAGTCATGGTATATCAAGTTGCAGTAAGGCTAGGCACCTCCTTTCCTACTGAGGGTGGACGAGGTAACCCAGTAGGAGGAAAGGGTCCCAAAAGCTGGCAACACAGTCAGAGATAGCCCCTGTTCCCACTGTTAGGAGACACACGAGAAAAGCAAGCTATACATCTGTAACATATGTGCAGAGAACCTACATCATTCCCATGCAAACTCTGGCTGGAAGTTCAGTCTTTGTGAGACTAGGTTAGTTGATTCTGTGGTTTTCTTGTGGTGTCCTTGACCCTTCTAGCTCCTACAATTCTTCCTCCCCCTCTTCCAAAGGATTCCCTGAGGTCCTCCTAAGGTTTGGCAGTGGGTCTCTGCATCTGTTTTCATCTGTTGCTGGATGAAGCCTCTCTGATGTCAATTGGGCTTAGCTAAAGCAATAAAACAACAAGGAGATCAAGGGGATATAAATTGGAAAGGAAGAAGTCAAAGTATTACTATATGCAGATGATATGTTAGTGTACATAAGAGACCCAAAAAAATTCTACCAGGAAACTCCTATAGCTGTTAAACATCTTCAGCAAGGTGGCTGGATACAAAATAAACTAAAAAAAAAAAATCAGTAGCCCTCTTCACAATGCCCACAAACAGTATAAAATGTCTTGGTGTAACTCTAACCAAGCAAGTGAACGACCTGTAGAGCAAGCACTTCAAGTCTTTGAAGAAAGACATTGAAGAAGATATCAGAAGATGGAAAGCTCTCCCATGCTCATGGATTGGTAGGATTAATATAGTAAAAATGGCCATCTTACTAAAAGCACTACAGATTCAATGCAATTCCCATCAAAATTCCAACACAATTCTTTACAGACCTTGAAAGAACTATACTCAACTTCATATGGAAAAACAAAAAACCTAGAATAGCTAAAACAATCTTGTACAATAAAAAAACTTCTGAAGGTATCACCATCCTGATTTCAAACTCCACTATAGAGCAATAGATAAATAAATAAATAACCACATGGTATTGGCATAAAAACAGATCAATGGAACCAAAGTGAAGACCCAGACATTAATCCACATACATGTGATACCAGATTTTTGATAAAGAAGCTAGCAATATACAATGGAGAAAAAGCATCATCAACAAATGGTGCAGGTCTAACTGGATGTCTGCATGTAGAGGAATGCAAATAGATCCATATCTGTCACCCACACAAAACTCAAGTCCAGATGGATCAAAGACCTCAGCATAAAACCAGATACAGTGAACCTGACAGAAGAGAAAGTAGGGAAGGCCTTGAACACATTGGCACAGGAGACAACTTCCAGAACAGAATACCAATCGTGCAGGCACTAAGATCAACAATTAATAAATGGACCTCATGAAACTGAAAAGCTTCTATAAGGCAAAGGACATCATCTGCTGTTTTTCTTATACAGCCCAGACCTACCTGCCTAGGGATAATGTCACCCACAGTGGGCTAGACCCTCCCACTTCACTCATCCATCAAGACACTCTCTCACAGACATGGCCACAGATCAATTTGATCGGGGAAATTCCTCAATTAAAGTTCCCCTCGCCATGTGACCAAAGGTTGTGTCATGTTGACAATAAAAACTAACCAACAAAGATGGCCCACTGTACCACTGTACCTAATGCCAGACAGGCTTATTAGTTGTGTGTGTGTGTGTGTGTGTGTGTGTGTGTGTGTGTGTGTGTGTGTGTGTGATTGTGCCAAGGCACAAATCTGGCAGCCAGAGAACAGCTTGTGGGAATCGATTCTCTCCTCCCACCATGTGGGCTTGAGGGCTCAAATGCAGGCTGTCGGACTTAGCAGGAGGTGCTTTTATCCACTGAACCATCTCTCCAGCTCTCTCGAGACTTCTTAACTGCTTACAGTTTCAAAGGATTAGTCCATCATCATCATGGCAAGTAGCATGGCACAGGAGCAGTAGCTGCAAGCTACATCCTGATCTGTAGGCAGAGAGAGAGAGACAAGCTGGAGTTGGGGTGGGCTTTTGAAACCTAAAGCCTAAACCCCCGCCTAGTAGCACACTTCCTCCAACAAGGCTACACCTACTCCAACAAGACCACACCTGCTGATCCTTCTCAAACAGTGCCATTGCTGATGGCTAAGCATTCAAACATATGAGCCTACGGTGGCCATTTCTTTTCTCTTTCTTTCTCTCTTCTCCTTTTTTTTTTTTTTTTAAGACAGGTTTTTTTTTTTTTTTTTTGTGTAGTCTTGGCTGTCCCAGAACTCACCCTGTACATCAAGCTGGCTTCGAACTCAGAGATTCATCTGCCTCTGCCTCCCAAGTGCTGGGATTAAAGACGTGCACCACCACCGCCTGGCTATGGCGACCATACTTATTCAAACCACCACAGGTAGTAATAAAGAAAATCCGTAAGCATGCAGAGTAAGTTCCAAAACATGGTGTGTCTGGCTCCTGAGGGCAGCATTCTGGCTTCTTCTTAAAGCCTCTGAATCCCTCGTCCTCAGAGCCACTGTGCAAGCTCTGGCCTGGCTGCTCTGCTCACTTCCTCTTGAGTCTTGTAACCCCAGTGACAACAGAGCGTGCAGGTCCACAGATAAGCCCTCAGGGCAGAGACTAGGAGACTGTATGTATGACTCAGTCCTTGCTCTGTGTCACCTCTAAACAGTGGGGGGACGGGGTGTGGGGCCACAGGAAGAAAACTGTAGTCAGGGCTGGCATATAGCTGGTAGAGTGCTTGCCGAGAATGCCCAAGGCCTTGGGTACGATTCCTAACACCAAAAACCAGATGTGATGGCATACGCTTGTAATTGCAGCACTCAGAAAATGGTGAGCAGATCAGAAATTCAAGGCCATCCTTCAGTACTTAAGGAGTTTGAGGCCAGCCTGGGCTAGAGACCCCTGGCTCAAAAATAGTCAGTCACTCGAATATACATACACATATGAGATCATTAATTATGTAAGAGTTTTGGGATTCTTTCACATAGAGGGAAGCTTGCTTTGCCCTGTGCCCTCCACCCAGGACTTCCTGTTTTGTGGCAAGGAGAACACTATCACTACCACTCATGCAGAACATGGGAGGATCAGGAAGCTGCCCTTACCAGACACTCATTCATCTGACTTCCTCTGCTCGCTTTAGGCTAATAAATGGTAACTTCTGGAAGTTTAATCTGATGGAATGTTCATATCTTCAAAACCAAACCCAGTCCTCTTCAAGACTTCGTAAACTACCCTGCCCTATGCTAGAATAAAGGTTCATTCTGATCCCACTTTTAGGGCATTGAGTATATCTTGGCTCCTCTAGGTCAGCATCATTGTGAGATTGTCATCTCCCAAATGTATTCATTCAGCAACTTCTTGGCATCAGGTCAAAACAGGCCAAAGTTCTTCCCAGGAAACATCACATATCCAGGACTTTTGTTTTGTTTTGTTTTTGTTTGTTTGTTTGTTTTTTGAGACAGGGTTTCTCTGTGTAGTTTTGGAGCCTGTCCTGGATCTCGCTCTGTAGACCAGGCTGGCTTTGAACTCACAGAGATCTGCCTGGCTCTGCCTCCCAAGTGCTGGGATTAAAGGCGTGTGCCACCACTGCCTGGTGAGACTTTGATGCTAACAATTTAACACGGAAGTGGGAGGAGCAAGGTTCTAGACTGACCTTGACCAGAGAATTTCTGCATAGTCTCAGAATTAAGGTGTCCATGGCTGACTTTCATGCAGCAGCACCATTGCTACCCAGAATTCCATGGAAGTATCGACACATGGTGTGATGGTTTGAATGAGAAATGTACCCTACAGGCTCAGATATTTACACACTTGGTCCCTAATTGATGGTGCTGTTTTCGGAGGTAGTTCAGTCTTGCTGAAGGAAGGAAGTCACTGGGGGTGGGCTTTGATAGTTACCAACCCCATCTCACTTCCTGTTTACTCTTTCTGCTTTGTGTTTGAGGTTGAAGATGTGATCTCTCAGCTTCCTGCTCTGGCAGATGAAGCAAGAGATATGTTGTGCTGAAAGAAGGTACCAACACGTGACAGAGGGTAGATAAGAAATACGGTTTAATTTTAAGTTGTAAGAGCTAGTTAGTAGCATGCATAAGCTATCGACCAAGCTTTTATAATTAATAAGAAGTCTCTGTGTGGTTATTTGGGAATTGGCTGGCAGGAAAGAAAAGTCTATCTACAATACCAGTAGAAGACAATAGTATAAGCCAGGCCTGTTATTAGGGACCTATAATCCTAGCTACTCAGAAGGCTGAAGCAGAAGGACCCCAAGTTCAACAAAGCCAGCCTGGACAACTTAAACTTTTTTCTAAGTAAAAAGAGGGTTAGAGATATAACTCAGAGGTACAAAGCTTGTTTAGCATGTATGAGACCCTAGGTTCAGTCCCTAAGACCCACCCTGCACAAGTATTTTTTAACTAGCTAGTGTGTGTGTGTGTGTGTGTGTGTGTGTGTGTGTGTGATGGAGCTGGTTCTCTCCTCTACCATGTTCTCACTTGCACCACATGGGATCAAACTCAAATCCTTGGTGGCTAGCATCTTACCCACTGACATGTCTCTCCAGCCCAAAGCCCAGCTACTCATATCTATACAACTCCTGTATGTTTCCCATTGTAGAGAGGATGTGCTTTATATTTGATAATACAGCTGTTGATAGTTTGTGGAGAAGCTACGCGAGTTTACCTTTTCCAGTTATGTCCCAGCATGGCTTGGGCTAAGAGGACAAGCGACGTGGGGTGGAAGGAATGTATCCATCTGCAGCTCCAAGTGTTACTGAAATCAAGAGATTGTGGAAAGCTAAGAAAAAATGGGGAGCCAGAACCCAGGAAGCCAAAACAAAAAGAGTGTAGACAGTGGCAAAGATGAGAGAGAGAGAGAGAGAGAGAGAGAGAGAGAGAGAGAGAGAGAGAGAGAGAGAGAGAGAGAGAAAGAGAGAGAGAGAGAGAAAGAGAGGGCGCCAGGGTCCAAGAACCAGGAGCAGCAGCACTCGGGTACACTAGGACCACTGAATGCTGGTGTGAGTCCATGGTGTGGCCAGGACAGTTAGGATCCACTGTCACAGGGAGTTTCTCTGAGAGAGCTGTGTTGGTGGCAGTAGGTGTTGAGAAATGACTCCTCAAAATTCCTTCCTAACCATCCGTATAATTTGCTCCAATTAAGCCCTGGGTTGTAGATGCACCAACTCTATTTCTGAAGGCAGCATGCTCTTTTGGCTTAGCTGAGTTCCCTCAGGAAGGATGTGGCTGGCAGGAGTAACTGAACCCCTCCTCCTCCTTTCCATTTAAACTTTTTATTTTTTAGAATGCTTTTAGATTTCCAGAAAAGTTGCAAAGTTGGTACAGAGATTTTTTGGCATATGCTCACTCAGTGTCTCTTGTTGTCTATATCTGTCATCATTACAGTATATCTGTCACAGCTGAGGAGCCAACTTGGTACACTGCTGGACCAGGTTCTCCATTCAGAGTTCATTAGTGTTTCCTTAATGTTCTTATTTTCTCAGTTCAGTATCCTATCCAGGATACCCCGTTACTCTGTGTGTGTGTGTGTGTGTGTGTGTGTGTGTGTGTGTGTGTATGTGTTACGTTGTATGCATATGTGTGCCCACGCATGTACAGATGAAGGTTGGAGGTTGACATTGGTGTCTTCCTCTATTGCTCTCCACCTTGTTTGTTTTTTTTAATTATTTATCTTTAGTTTCTGCATATGAGTGTTTTGCCTGCATACATGTCTGTGTACCATGTGTGTTGAGTGTCTATAGAAGTCATCCTATACCTAGAACTGGAGTTACAGATGGTTGTGGGCAGCCATGTGGGTGCTGTGTAGATGTAACAGTCTTATTAAATAAGAAATACTGTGGTGGTATTGTGTTCCCCAAAATATTGTGTACTCTAATAAATTTATCTGGGGTCAGAGAACAGACAGCTACTAGATACAAAGGCTAGAAAATGGTGGCACTCACACCTTTAATCCTAGCATTCCAGAGATAGAAATCCCTCTGGATCTCTGTGTGTTCAAGGCCACATTGGAAATAGACAAGCATGGTGACACGCCTTTAATCCCAGAAAGCCAGCCTTTAATCCCAGGGAGTGGTGGTAGAAAGCAAAAAGATATATAAGGCGTGAGGACCAGAAACTAGAAGATTTTGGCTGGTTAAGCTTTCAGGCTTTGGAGCAACACAGTTCAGCTGAGAGCCATTGGAATGAGGACACAAAAGCTTCCAGTCTGAGGAAACAGGACCAGCTGAGGAATTGGCAAGGTGAGATAGCTGTGGCTTGTTCTGTCTCTCTGATCTACCAGCATTTACCCCAATAACTGGCCTCGGGTTTGATTTTATTAATAAGAACTTTTAAGATTCCTGCTACAAAATACAGAGCCAAATGCAGAGTTAAAAGCCCAAGAGGTCAGAGCAGTAGTAAGAGCTGAGACTTAAAATCACCTTCTTACCCTTCCTGCCACTGCCGTCCTTCCCCTCCGAAAGAGACCTACTTCCTGTGTGTCTGTCCTTTTATTGACTTTCTGTCCTGCCTTCTTATAGGTTGTAAACCTAACCACATGACCTTCTCGTTACTGCCTGTCTATACAGACCTCTAGGTCTCTATGGTTGGTATTGAGATTAAAGGCGTGTGTCTCCATGCTGGCTGTATCCTTGAACACACAGAGATCTGCTTGTCATGTGATCGGGGTTAAAGGTGTGCGCTACCACCGTCTGGCTTCTGCTATGGATTGCTATTAGCTCTGACCCCCAGGCAACTTTATTTATTAACATACAAATAAAATCACTTTTCCAGCCGGGCGGTGGTGGTGGTGCACGCCTTTAATCCCAGCACTCGGGAGGCAGAGCCAGGCGGATCTCTGTGAGTTCGACGAGGCCAACCTGGGCTACCAAGTGAGTTCCAGGAAAGGCACAAAGCTACACAGAGAAACCCTGTCTCGAAAAGAAAAAAAAAAAATCACATTTCCGTACAAATGAAATACCATAGTGCTAGAATTGAACCTAGGTCCTCTGGAAGAGCAGCCAGTGATCTTAACCTCTGAGCCATCTCCCCAGCCCAGGTCTCTCACTGAACCTAGAGCCCACCAATGGGCTCACTTGCTCAGTCAGCAAGCCCCAGGGATCTTGTCTCTGCCTTCCAGTGCTGGGACATACGCACCCCCAAATGGACTCAGTAAGTTGTACTTTCATATTTACACATGCACGTGGTACGTGTGTGTGTGTGTGTGTGTGTGTGTGTGTGTGTGTGTGTGTGTGTGTGTAGTGAAATAATCCAAGAAAAAGAGGAAATAGCCCATCAATTTGAGAGGAAGTGGAGGGAGCAGGAGAAGGTTGGATGGAGGAAAGGGAAAGAGGGAGTGATGCAATTAGATTTTAACTTAGAGAAAGTGGGGCAAAAAGAAAATGCCCCCATAGACTTGAGTGCAGGCTAATCTTTTTTTCTTTCTTTCTTTGTATTTATTCTATACATCTTCTACATCATGCATCCCGATCCCATTCATTTTCCCATCCCTTCACATCTTTCCTCTGCCCCTGAATGGTCCCCAAATAAAACAAAATTTAAGAGAAAAAAGGGAGAAAGGGGGGAGTTAAAAATTTCATGATGGAGGCTGCAGTGTGACACAGTGAGTCACGCAGTGACCCCTTTGTCCATGTATCTTGACTTGCAAGTGTTCATTGCAAAGAGTCATTGGTCTGGTTTGAGGCCTCTGGTTTCTACTGTACCATCCATGTTGGGCCCTCACTGGGATATCCTGTAGTTACCCTGTGTTGTGGAGATCCTGTTGCTTGGATTCTTTGGGTCAGGCCCCTTCACGTAATCCAGCAAATCATAGATGGGGTAGAAATTGGGACAGGCCAAATCATAACCCTGGTTCTGGGCCTAGGCAGCCTTAGGATTGGTCCGCCAGCCAGTTTTCCCTGTCCACACCACCAGGGTGAGCTCTCCAGCATTGCCCAGGCTAATTCAACTCGTGCAGCAAGAGGATGCTGCACTTCCAGAGGACCCAAATTTAGTTCCCAGAACCTGTCAGGCAGATCATAACCATGTGTATGTAACTCCACGCCCAGCAGACCTGATACCATCTTCTGGCCTCTGAGGGCATCCACAGACATGTGCACACAGGCACACAGAAGAGAAGAGGTAGAGCTCTACATACAGGAAGGTCTGTGACACATTAAATAAAAAGTAGCCCGTAATATGCAAGGTGTTGTGCAATTTTTGGAAAGTAAAAATCCATACTTACTGATGTCCACACATATGTATGACATGTGCACACATATATGAATGTATATGTGTAGACATTTACTTGGAAAGATATGCAGCAAACTGTTAAGGTTTTACCTTCAGAGGAGGGCAGGGACATGCAGGAGATGAGTGAAGAAAGGCTAGATTGTTTCCTTTCTACAATTTCATATTATTTGCATGCATGCAATGCAAAGATCATTGACTTCTTTTGCAATTCATTAATCTGAAATGAAAGCTTAAACATTAAAATGTAGGAAACGTATGAGTTGAAGATATTTATAGTAGCTCCTACTTCCTTCCCAAGACTAAGCAATATATTAATATTTGGGTTTTTTTCTTTACTTTTTAAAAAGAATTATTTTAATTTCAAATTATGTGTATGAATGTGTGTTGGGTGGGGGTATGTGCGTGTGACTGCAGTAACCCTTCAAAGTCAGGATAGAGTCAGATCCTCTAGAGTTGAAATTACAGGTGATTGTGAGCTGCCCAATGGGAATGTTGGGAACCAAACCTGGGTTGAGAGCAGTATACACTCTTAACTGCTGAGCCATCTCTCCAGCTCCTTCCTTCCATTTTCCTTCCTTCCTTCCTTCCTTCCTTCCTTCCTTCCTTCCTTCCTTCCTTCCTTCCTTCCTTCCTT